GTAAATGGCGTCACTAAGTGGGCTTTTCCACGCTCCGTTTCTGGGTTTCATTTTTTTCCTATTACCAATATTCTCGTATGTCCACGTGTGTGCACAACCACACAGCCAACCACACCCACCTATCCAAACACACACGCACAAATAGGACACTTTTGATGGATGCATGGATTTTTCACCACTCAATCACACGCAGTCACACGTGTTGGATTTGTCGGTGAGATTTCGTGAATTCCGTTCCAACGAACTCACCCGCACAACTTTGCACAGTGTGAGAGTAGATGAGTGTGTGTGTGTGCGACGGAGTGTGTGAGACGGTGATAGACGTGAGAACGATTAGCATAAATACAAACCACGGAATTCATAGACTTAAAAGGCTGTGTCAACGTATCCACTGGATAATTTACCCGTCAATTCCTATTTGTGGGGACACATAGTAGTAGCCTGATTAGCATAATCGAACAATTAAGTTGGTTTATGGATAGTTTATGGAACAGACCGATACTTACATTGTTAAAATGTGTCAAGAAAATCATTTTATGAAAGCATGTCACTTCCTTGACAGTACATATGCGTGCCAAAATTGTAAACATGTTTTTTCGCTGCTCAACGTACTTTTTAATAAATCAGTTGACTGAAAATGGTAACTAGTGTTCAAACTCCACTCTGAGCGAATAATGAATGCAAAGTGTGAATCAAACCGCCAGCATGATCAACAAAGATCAGACTGAACAACTGAAAGTTGACGTGAATTTGTTCATACCAGAATAATTTGTAATATGGTTTTCCAAAGTAATAGTTGTAAACATTCAGAATGCTGGATACAATTTCGACTGCATTTGCTCAACTGCCGTTTCAATATCATCTGCATTCGACCACCCGTCGAGTTCGTAATATTCACTGTAAATTAGATCGTTTCCAGTTTATTCCATCACAAATCATGACTCGGTTTGTTTAGTTATTTAATCGGCGTCTGCAAGTGGAGGTTAAGTTGAGATTTCTGAATGACCGGTACGTCAATTTAATGAACAATCGTATCCGAGGAAATAACTATCCGCCAATTTGAGTGCTATTCACAGGCGAAAATGTCAACGGGGATGGGTGAACAGACATGAACGCAAATTTTCGTAAGACTGGGATTCAGGCAAATCAGGACAGAAAGAAGAAGACATAGGGCAGATGGTTGGAATATCCCTAAGCCAACTAACTCTTATCAGCTGTTTTTCTCTAGTAGTTCCCGAAAGATGCCACAGCAAAGTCCAGTTGGTCTCCTAACGCTCGGGGGAATTTATGGCACACAATTGCAAGCCACCAAGCATTAGTGTCGCATAGTGGTGGTGTTTGTTTCAGCAATTCACGTTAATTGCCTACTCATCGGTGCAAGCTGTAGTTTGCTACAGCCACACTGACAAAGTTGAATTTTGGCTGCAAAAATGCTTTTCCAAAAGATTATTTTCTCAAATAACACTGGAAATCTGTTTTTGCCACTCGTGGTGTTTATCATCAAGTTGTTCAAATCTTCGAATTACATAATGTTCAACTGCTTCCGAGTAATGAGATCCCTACGTGTTGCTGCACACAACGGAGATTCTGCATTCTTTTCCAGTGCGAAATCTCTTCGAATATTTACTTATTATTACCCTCATGTCGTTAAACCAAACGTCTCTCATTTCCGCCCCTGGTCACCTGTCTCAAACAGTCCTGTGGAACCATCTGATGCCCAGATTAATTTGTGTTCAGCGTATTAAGCGCCAGGCAAACGAAGGGAAAGCTGTTGAAATACAGAAGAAAACAATTTATTTCCCTTACATGTGTCAATATAACGGTGATAGTCACTCGAACATTAATAACTGCAATCAGTCAAATGTGTCATGCAGCGAAACTCCGTGTCTCATTGGCATTCAGATCAGTACTTAGGCTGCAACTCAAAGACACAGACGTTGTATCTGCAATCTCATTATGAGTTTAGTTTTTCGTTGATTTCTATGGAACAACGTACACCGGTCGCACTTGACTTAGAGCATCAACCAGTTTGGTTGGACATTGGCCTGACGAAGTCAGTCACAAGCGCAATCTGTTCACATCTTGTCGAGTCAAGTTGCTTATTTGAGCTTTTCAAGGTTCTTGAAGAAAAATCGAACTGAATTTCAAATCGCATTCTGGCCACAGTGGAAGCAGTGGAAATGGGCATGCACAACCTATCCTTGTGTGCAGAAAAACAACTAGTGAGATCACTGTGTCTCCCGTGGACATTCACCTACCCCTGTCCCAATCATCGTCACGTCCGAATAAGATATCATACCGAAAACAGTAGATATTACCTATATATTTTGTCACTTCTATTTAGCATTTTTTGTACGTGCCATCCCATCTTCCTGATTTTATGCGAGATATATAAATTGTGACGTATTAGTCACAGAAGACGAATCACTAAAACCAAGTCGTATTTACTACATTGTGTTCTATTGCAAATTTATGGTGGATTCTTCCAGCATTTCCCACTCGGACTAATGCCATGCTTGACTTCTGCCTTATGAGAAACCCAACATATGTTTCATCGCTGCATTATTTACTACATCCTAAATTCTGCTGCAAAAGTATACATCTAGAACAGACTCAACTCTTACTCACAATTCTGATGTGCCTCAAAACCGGAAAGACGGTCTGCGATTCTCGTGATCATTGCATACCTATCGGGCTAGTTTTCCAAATTTAGAAGCCTGTTATATTCAGCCCCATGTTTGAGAAACATCTGAGTGGATATCTGTGATATCGGAACATGTTTGGATTACCGTACAGAACTACTCCACAAACGGAACACACTGTACTTCCTGAGAGCTAAAACGTTCTTTTGCTCTTCAAAACAGTTCCCATGGGTTTCGAGAAATCATTATATCTCACTTGTCTTCGTCTGCACTTAATAGTTCGTAATATTTGCCGTGGTTATATGGACTAAATGTATGAATATGAGATGGTTTAGTGACTGGATGTCCATATACCCACAGTTCTCCAACCGAGCCTCAAAAACGTTCACACTAATAGTCGACAATGGCTTACATCGCGCCTAATGCACCATTATATTGTATCGTACGTTGATTCCTTTGAAACTTAAACCTTACTCCTTATATCAATCTGTTTCGGAATGTATGAAGTGCCTCACTGGTTTTAGCCAAACTGCCCTCAAATTCGGAAACATGGATATTCAAGGGGTGTTTCATGTCACAATTGCTCAAGGTTTGTGCCTGTTGAAAGTATCTTCCAAAACTTTCAAAACTTTGTAAGGGTAAACCTTACAGGCTTATGAAGACTTGCTGATTGTCAAGGCGAAATACTTTATTTTCCATGGCCTGCATTCTTCCGAATCGCCTGTTTTCTCCCTTGTACGTTTTCCGGGTTTCAAAGACACAGAATTCACTGTGCTTTTTAAATCTCTGGAATTCTCATCCAGGTCCAGTGGTATGCATAATATGCATAATATCCTGAGAATATCATTGTTTGCAAGCATTTTAAATGTATAAGACTAAACGTTTGCTATTTATTACCGACTGCGATAGGAAATCAGATGAACCGTTTCTATATCTCGTACGTGCACCGGAAAAAATCTCTCCGCACACACATGCACTTGTTATAGCAAATTCCTTAGCGAATCATGCATCAGTTACCCCTTCAAGTTATCATTGTTGTTTCATTCTGAAGATATTTTGCCACTTCGTCAGGATGCACAGAGCATTTCAAGGTGAGAATTATTCACAGAGGGTTTCATAATAATTATAACCTCAAAACAGTTCTTGACATAGAGTCTTCATTCTGACAATTTCTAAAACAAATGTCTTTTGTCTGTCGACCGAATCGTGTAGAATCATCCACTACTATTTTTCGAATGGTGTCCCTGTAAGAAGATGGGTTTTATTTTTCGATTGTTGGAAAGCCTTATTTCTACAAGTGCCTGTGAATTGGTCTGAAACTGGAATTTCGACCAGATGATGGAGTTTTAACGTCAGTAGACATAACTGAATCGAGAAACGGTTTGTCAAAAGCTTAAGAGTTACATTTATTTTGAGTCCATAGGAGATCTATTCCTCTTAGCTGCAATGATGATAAGCCCTAGCTTCTTTTTCATGAATCGAACTTTTACTTGGGTGCACCCGCTAAATTGATACAGTGAAATGATTTGCTTTGGATAATATTTTCTGTGAAGGGTCTTATTTCTTGCTTCATGCTTCAAGGTCACCGGCTGTAACTCGTCTTGTTAAGTACCAACAGCAGAGACATGTTTGTTGCGAACCCAACGAACAATGAAGCGTTGTTTTGAGTTGATAAGTTATATAAAAATAAAAAAAATACATATTTATACACTGACAAATCCATTGGTCTGCCTCGTTGTATTTCTTGTCCAAGTTTCCTTATGTCTACTGAGAACGGCAATGAGGGACAAACCAGATGTGCGACTGCTTACTTCGGAATGGTACGTAAACATATTATTAAATGTTCTTTATTATTATCGCTATAAATATCAAAGTTTCCATCATTTCACCTACAAGCAATTTATCAGCTGTGATTTTCTGTGAAGGATAAACTCACTGTGCATCACACAAATTGCAGTGAAGTTATCTGCATCCTTTCACACAGAGAGTATTGGAATACCTAAAACTTAACTCTGACGATCTCTACGAATAGGCTTTTGAGTGCGCAAACCACAGCCTGCTCAAGAATACAGGGGGAGGGCAGAAATTGGAAATGTTGATCTGCAAAGACCTCCAAAACAAACGGATATAAACTGCTTGTCAGTATAATACCCTTCTCCCAGTTGAGCTGAAATTTACAACAACCAATGCCCACGTACTCACACGGTTTGTACCCAAAATAGATGATACTGAGAAGAGCACGCAGAAATCGGCATTTTCATTCTTTAAATCCTTTCGTGAAAAGAATTCATGCAAAACCTCAATAGAAATATCTAGCTTGATTTTCTGATGAAGGTCAATTTATGATGCATACTGTAATTAGTTTTGTATTATTCGACCCGTTATTGGTAAACGAATTATATGAGTATCCGTCTCCAGTGTAATGGTACGGCCGAAGAAAACAGTTTTCATGTCTTCACATTCACTGCCAGCACCTTCTACTGGTGACTCTATTCGCAAAGTCACCGAATGCTTCTCGTGATCAAGTGTACTTTGTTCCTTCTCCGGCTGCACCGCCTGTACTTGGACGCGTATGGCCCGGGATAAGCCTGAAACGAATAAAAATCAATCGCGTGAACGTTCGGTTATATATTTAAGGTCAGAGTTGAATGTGAAGTTGCAACTTGAACACAGGTCTCCCGTTAGGCAGATCTTACCAATTTATATATTATTTTGGCTTCATCTGTATTCAGAGTTGGCGGAACAAAAATATCCTTTTCTTAAACAGATCAAGATACTAAGGGACCAACTGATGGCTACCCTTAATTTTTGAAATGGCCCTTGCATTAAATTGTCACATAAATAATCACTCGTACGCATATATTCAAAATAGTATTCTCAATAAGCTGTTCGGCTTAAATGACTAGCAAATTTTTATATTTCCAGGCCTGTACAGTACATCACATAATACGCGGTGAATCCAAACATAATCTTGTTAATTGTATTTTGAAGCAAATTATTTATTCCCATTTGACGCTTGTCGGTGATAGAGTCACCGAACAAATCAGGTTTTTTCAGAACGTATGGGCACAAGTAGCCAATCAAACATGGTATGCAATATTTCTGAGAATACTGTTTCCTCCTTCGTTGATTTTTGACTGACTTTTTCTCTCAGGCCCACATTGAACAAATTTTAAACTGTATTTTTGGCCAGTTTTCTGTGACTGTGGCAGCTGAATGATACTGATTGCTGATGACTTTTAACGAGAGCAAAACTGAAGCTCAGTGATTCCAGTGGGTATGGTTTATTGGATAAGCTGAGTTTTAATTTTATGTCACAAATCTATAACTTGCATATCGCACCCTTAGTGGCAACCAACTCATAATTTAACTCATTATGATGTAGTTTTAAGCTTCTACGATAAGCGTTGGTTATTTGGGGAGTTTGTCCTTGTTCTTCCTGCGAAGTCCCGATTAAGATTCTCGGTTGAGTCCACAAACTAACACAAAAAATATCGAAAAGTGTACAATGAAACATAAAAATTTGTTATTCCAGTTATTCACTTTTTCTATGCTAACCCTTCCACCTTATTTTTCACTATGTTCTGTATTCCATTCCACCCATCCCGTGTTATTGTTATTGGCATTATTGTTATAGCCTTGAAAACGTGTTTCTCCGAAGTTGATGCATATATATATATACAGGTTTTGATCAAACTCGTGCAACATCACTCTCATTTTGCAAATACACTTCAGCCTCTAATATCATACTTGTGTATTGATGGTTATGGGTGAAATGTACATGACTCCTGTTCCATAAAAGTGTTAATTAAGTTAAGCAAATGTTATATAAATTGTTCATCCCTCTTCACTCAGTGAATAGTAAATAACCAAAATAGTGAAAATATTCTAGTCTAAGTAAATTGACAATTTTTTTCGCTGTAGACTACTCACGCATCATCTACTTCACTGAAAGAACTGAAAACATAGTCCAAGAAACTTAAAAGTTGATCTTTGAAAGTTGAGCTTGAAGTGTGCGGCTCGTTGAATAGGCGTTTTGTAGTATCGCCATACCTAAATCGGTCAAGCAATTCAATAGGTTTTGGCAAATAATTAAAGCCTAGAGGTAATTTATTCGAGAGGCACATAATTCCAATGACTCAGTTGGTGTCTGGTGGAGGTGATTCAATGTGAACATAAGTCCAATTTGTTGCATATTCAACGAAATTTCTCCATCAAGACCTAAACCTACAGGAATCAAATCGATGATATCAAAGCAAGACGTTGGTTGTATTTGATTGCAGCATAGAAGAGTTACACACAACCAATCTGGAGGATAGTCCGGGCTTATTAACCGTTTATTCCTCAAGCCTTCGTTTGGAAAGTGATGGCTCAGTTTAATGTGCAGCTGAGGCCAAGTGCCATGAAGCCGTTATTCAACGCCCAACAAAGCAAAGCACGTATTGATTCTACTAACAGATTCAAATGGCATCACCTGTCCATTTAACAATGAGTTTAACTCGCTGGTGCCCAACGAGTAATTCAGCATGCGGTGAAAGCTGATCTATTAAGGTAGTTTTCTGATGACTTTTGTTTTACCTATCAAAAGAAATGAATACTTATCCCGCCTAAAGAGTTAGAACAAAAGTAAATACTGAGTGCCTTCTTATTGATCTTATGCACACACCAATCTGGATATTGCAAAATGTTTTGCATTGCTAAGGGAGGTTTTTGGTAAGTGCTACTCTTCAAACGCAATTGCTGAAGTTACATTTTTTACAGATGAAAGGTGGTATACATTCTTGCTTGAGGTTTTAGTAGAAGTCCGTTAGACTTAAGTGAATCTTATTGTTTCAAGTTTATAAAGTTTCTGGAAGGGTAAAGTTTAATGTCAAATTCGTTCATTTTTAGTTTAATGGAAAACGTTTCCCTTTATCAGTAACAAGAATAAGCTAGCTATCTCGACGTTTATCGTCAGTGGTGAGGATGTGCGGTGTATTAGAGAAAACTTGCAAATTTTGTTTTGCAGTCCACATGGTGGATTCTATGCTAAATTTACTACCTTTAGAGCTGAAAAATGAATAAGGGAAAATGGAACGTAAACGAAATGAAAGTAGAATACCTGCATGAAGTCTATGAATCATTTTATGAAATAAATGTTTGTTACGTTTTCTACTTTGACTTTATTTTACAACTGAGGCACCAGCAACCATAGTCAAAATCGCGAAATGGTGCATTTTAATGGCATGTGGCTAACAGGAGCAAATACAAGTGGATATTATATCAGATATG